AGAACAGAGATAGATGAAAGTCATGGAAAGCTTAGGGACAGGAGGCCCTGATTAACTATATATGAACTTCCGATGCAAACTGGAAGTCACATTATTTTAATTCAAAAATTTCTCCCTGAAAGGAGTTAGATAGATAACTAGCACAACTCTATCACTAGCAGGTAAAGTATGATGCACAGAGGCAAGACGCTATTAATTTGAGGTGGAGAGCATATATTTTAAATTAAATAAATTAAAAATATGATTAAAAATTTCAGCTTGTCACAAATCATTGTGACAATGCCACAATAAATAATTGCTCGTTTATTTTCTTTTACTTCCTTACATCAGAGATGATGATTAAAGTGACTGCCCTTCTCAACATAGCAACTGTTGAAATGCTTGCTTCAGGCTGATATCTAATACCATTGTACACATTCTTGACCCATTCTTCTAGCTGAACTGGAGTGAACAGACAAAGGAATTCAAATTACACCAAAAATAAAAATCAAGGGATCTAACTAACCAACTGATTGGTTCATCTCTTCTTCTTCATCTTTGAGGAAATTTCCATTAAAGATACCCTCTTGCTACAATGCATATCTTTCCTATACACAGGAAATTTCTAATCAAAATACCTCTTGCTTCAATGCATATCTATTTTTAGCACAAAAACTAAAATATACTTTAACTCCTTTCCCATGAATTTTAAGATTTACATTTATTGAGACATTTAGTTTTTAGATGTAGAATACACCTATGCTTTTATTAAAAACAGTTACAATTCACCCCATATACAATTTTAGTATATGCAGAAATGCCGAAATTTATATTAACAATTGTTATTGATACATGATACTAGAGATTTTGTACACAATATTGTATCATGCCAGCTACAAATTACCTAAATGCTCTTTTCCATTCTTTGAAAAAAGTAATTATTCCCACATTCTTATAAATTTCTTTTTCTATGTTGACATCCAGATGTCATTATAATAAGCTATCTGGGACTACTTTACATCTTGAATTGTCATGAAACCAGAAGTGAGAAATTTTCTTTTGTAAAGCCCCAAATAAATTGCTACCCCATGTTTCAAGTAGGCCACAACATATCAGATCCGTACATAATCCACTGTCTACCGAATTTATTATCAGCATCATCATTAACTTGATGCAATCTTATACACATAGTGGCCATAAAGTCCGTATTTTCCAAAACACTAAAGCCTCGTAAAGCCGACTCAACGCGTTCATATTTGCCATTTGCCGAGCAAACATTTGGCCGATACCAAGTAGCGTGGATGTATTTACTCATAACTAATATTTGGCAATCACCATTTCCTACTCCTTGTTGTATTGTGCCAAATCAAAGGGAACGAATAGACAATTATACAGCAAATACCAAATGCATGGAGCTTAAGACACATCATCACACCATATTATTTTTACATGATGTAATAATGTATCCTACAAGCTTGCAACTATGTGGCTGTATGATAAATCCTTCAAACACTGTAAATTTTAGATTATAATGAAGAAATAATTAGTTCCTTCTATTTCATTTAATTTGATGAATATATTTGGGCCTACTGTAAATGACTAATCAAAAGATAAATTTTATTATTTATGCTTATAATCACTTGAATATTCATCAGAAACATATTTAATATCACTTGATTTATAAGAAGTAACTCCTTTTTTTAATGAAATCATTTATTTTGACAAATATTCAAGTCAAAATCTTAATGTATAATGTCGTTAATGTTTCATTTGCATAATTAAATATTTTATACACATTTATACATTCAGTGAATTCTTGTGAATTACTGAAAGACTTTTATGTAACTACATTTATTTATTTTTATTATTATCTGAGGTTTCAGGAATTNTATACACATTTATACATTCAGTGAATTCTTGTGAATTACTGAAAGACTTTTATGTAACTACATTTATTTATTTTTATTATTATCTGAGGTTTCAGGAATTGATTTTACTAAATCTCAACAACTATCTCAATGCTTTCCATCTTAGTAATTAATCTGAATAATCAAACTGATTGTAAACAAAAATGATATTTAACATAATAATAAAATTTTAAATAAACTGTTTGGCAGACAGCTGGCTGAGCGATTAAGGTATCAGCCTTCTGCTCTGGGGACCTGAGAACAAATCCAAATGAGTTGGAAAACATCAGATTAATTTTTGAGAATGATCCATTCCAGCTACATCTGGTCTTATTCCTCATATCTGGCTGCCCCATTGTATACTTGATTGAAAAGTCTGTGCCCACAATGCAGAAAGAGTCATTAATTTTAAAATATTATTTTATCTATTATTGCGATATCAATGTGTGACTAATATAAATAAAAAAAAAAAAACTTATTGTCATAAAATACAAATTGANTGACAACAACATTAAAATAATTTACAAAATCGAATCTATTAAACGGTCTTGCATTAAGTATTTTTCAACTTTTTATTCATAAAATAGTACCATTATTATGCTTTTTAAACTATTTCTAGTCATCAATGTTAAAAACTATTCTTTTAAAGCTATCTTCATTTGGCCAAGCTCACAACTAAGCTCACAAGGGATGATGACCACATTGTGAGAAAGATGACCAACATGTTCACATTAAATTGCCCAGGAAAATTTTTGAAGTTCTAACCTGGGCATGGTCATTAATCATCTGGCTATCCCACAAAATATTATTACAAAATGTGAGATGAATTTTTTTTTAAAATATTTTTATTAGTATTATTTGAATACTTGAATTTTGAATTAATCAAATTTTCTTAGTATCTTTCAATAATATGTGAGAGGTTATCTGAGGGCATACAAAATGAAGAAGAATCACTTTTAATCTGGTGCTCAAAGAGAGAAGATGAACTGAAGAAGTGTGTGGAATTGTCCAATATCCGAGTATATGAGTGAAGTTGTAGCTTCACGAGGGAAAACTCAATGTTTTCTCTGGTAAAAACAGTGAGGTGAGAAAACAGTGAGGTGAGCCCCAGCCAGGGATAGAGTGAGGTGAATTCCAGAGAGAGATTGAGAGCAAGTCTGAGGATAGCGATAGGAGTGGTTCAAAGGAAAAGTGGATAAAGGAAAAAGGTTCCTAGTATTGAGGTGACAGATAGGATCATAGCTTTGTAAGATTTGTTGTACTTAGTTTAATTGATTGATATTGTCGAGTTCCAAGGGGAATAGTTCATAAGTTATAGTAAGTAAATTGCATTATTTTTGTCGTGTTTTTCGAATTGTTTCTTTTCCTTGAATAAATTGTTTTTGATTCTTACTAATTTGTACATAATGAATAATTGAGTTAACATTAAATATTTGAGTTTCTTACTGATCCATGTACATAGTTATTTCCAGAGCACGCATACGCCAAGGCCTGGCGTACTAACCGCTAACCCGCATAAAGTACCCGTTAGGTCAGTGGTTCTCAATCTTTCTTGTTAATGTACCCCATTAGCCCATTAGTTGTTTCTCAAGTACCCCTTATACCTTTGTATGTAAATTTTATAATTACTACGTTAGATGTATACAGCCCTTATAACCAAGCGCCATAAAACAACTCTAACTAACTATAACTAAAACTGGATTACTTATTTTATGTAAATAATAAGAAATTTAATCAGGTACTACACTTCTATATAAAATAGTAGACAGTTGTAATCATTACCCATTTCAGTACAAATCTGCCTCAAAAGTCTAGTATTTAACGCACTGTATTTTACAAAGTTAACTATATTTGTTAGTGCCTTAAATAGAGATTATAATTGTATACTGACCTTGAAATGGCTGCGAATTTATAACGTACAGAACAATACAAGAATCTTTCAATTTTTGTAACAAATGTAACATCTAAATTTGCTAAATATTAAGTAATGTGCACATGCAGTGACACATTGCATGGTGGGGGTACGATCCAGGCCTCGTTATTCCTAATACCAGTAGTCCAGTAAAAACATAAAAAGCCCCTATCTCATTGAGCATAAATCGAAGGGGTACATTTAACTTTCATTATAAAATGGCATATGTTAATCAATTTGCTGTAAATTGTTATGCCATTTTATAATGAAAGCTAGATATACCCCTTCGATTTACACTCGATTTACATGTACCCCCGGTTGAGAACCACTGCGTTAGGTTAACGGTCGTAAAGTTCAGCGATAGTCCCGAACGCCTTACTGGCACATAGTTCCGTGTCATATAAAAATCAAATAGTACTTTACAATAACACTCAAAATAATTGTATGCATTTGGCTTGGAGCAGGTGGAAAATGCTCATTAAATCTACATGCTGCTTCTCTTGCATTTTGTCTCATTCCTGCGTATAGAATAACCACTTCACAGCACTGTTTATGAGTATAAAGCATTGCTGCTGAACTCTATCATCTACTCAAACAGCATCATATTGGCTCTTAAAAAAACATTGGCATTATGTCTTGCAATATGATTAATCAAGACTGCTTTTGTAATTTGCATCTTGGTCTGTTTGAAAAATTTACATATTGTTGCTGAATTACTATGCAATTTCAACATGTCCCTTTTGTTGAATCATTTATTTTATTTTACTGAATGCATTAATTTATTATTGTAGTTTTTTAAATGAATTAATATTTTGCCTCTGGATAGTTAATTACATAGCTATTTTTTCAGCACTGGAACAAACACGTATCATATGCATACACTTGTGCAATGCTGGAAAGATGTTTAAGTGAACACCCAGTATATTTTACTTTTTATTTCCTAAGTTTTTTTCATAAACAATGTATCATTTAAAAAGTAAATTATTTCCATGCTTGCCAAAAATCTAATGGCCAAAAAATGTTTTTAATGTATGGTATTAAAACCTAATTTCTCTGCTAAAAATGTAAAAAAAAAAACGGTAAGGTTTGTACTTTGTAAATTGTTTCCTTTCAGCTTGTAATGATACTTTGAAACATCTTTCATGTATTTAATTATCTTGTATAATCTAAATTTTAATATTTTAGCTTTTAAATTTTCTTACCAGCCATGATAAATCCACTATTTTCCCTGAGGCATCTTGACACCAGAGTGAATCATCAGGTATAAATGGCATCTCCAAATTGGTGTCATCCTGTCTTTTCACCTGAAATAAAAGTTTAATTTTAGAAAAATTATAAAAACATATAAAATGTAAAATGACTATTATCTAGATAAACAATTTATTATAAAAATACTTTTATGCTAAAATAATATTTTTCATATTTACAACTTTTTCTTAAAGATCAACTAATGTGGGGAGGTCCAAAATCTGCCTACCAAGTTTATTCCAACTGAATGACAAGATATACAAATCTTACTCAAATATTGTTCAAATTAGCATTTTACACTATTTATATAATAATGTGTTTAATATGTTTCTTCTCAACTTCAATCTTGATCTTCTGCAATCTTATCCCAAAATTTCTCACCACCATTTGAAGAGTATTTCCCAGACAAGCAAAGATTTCCATATTCCTCCAAATCTTCGTGCCAGTTCTATACATTATATTCTGGAGATATCATATGAAAAGAAGTTGTAATGATTTAGAGTTGAATATACAGACCTGTCTATTATTCTCTTCCACAGTGCTTTCTGAAATGCAAAGATCATTGATGGTCTGCAGGCCAGATCCAGCGTGTTACTCAGTTTCTTATGCAGAATCTCTTTAGTAACTATATGTAACTTGTAGTATAAACAAAAGGTTTTATTCGTATCTAAAATGTACGACTGTTACAAATTCAAATGCAGCGAGAAACAGTGCTGCCAGTCCAAGAAACTAACTACTATGGGGAGAAGTACTGCCACACTGTGACACTACTATATAACTGCCATCAGATATGACTAACATCAATAAATCAATGAAACTCAAAGTCCATGAATTTGGAAGTAATACAAACTGACATACAAGACCTAACAATTTATTTCATCAATAATGAGATTTTAGTTATGTAATGTAACTTATAATCTTTATGTAATATACTGGTTTTATTCACAAAAAATTAAATTTTGAGAAAACCAATGTTCTTATTAAAAATAACAAACTATTTATATTTTAAAATTATTTTATTTTACACTCATTGGGAAAAAATATATACTAAATTTTAAATATTACAATTTCAGTCTTCTTCTCATTCCTAAGACAACTATTGAAGACTTACAAAATTCTGGTCTTCCAATAATCAGCTTATTAATTTCTCACCCTTAACCATTCTAAAGTTGACATCACTGATTTAAATTTCATAAACAACCCCAATTCCTGTAGTAATCACCAATATTCTAATAATTGCCAAAGACTATTGGTTCCTTTGACTTTTTTACTCCTATGGGCACGGTCTACTGCTCTGATAATATTCCAAAGTAACTCATTCAGAGCTGCACTTGTATTAAACAGGACAGTATTTCAAAAATGCAAAAACAAGTAATTTTCATGTAGGTATAGTAGGGATTACTCCCATATCCAAACTAATGTGAGTGGTAGCAATCTAAATATTAGAAAAATCTGGATACAGGAATGTGATAATTTTTAAATAAGACTCTAACATACATGTCTATTATATTTATTTTGTGTTACACACTTATTTTCGACAATTACAATTTTATTTACAATTTATTTTGAAAGTATTGTGTTAAAGCTGTTTGTTTTATTCTTCTTGATTTCTGACAAGCTACAACATCATTTTCTGATAATGAAATAACTTTAGCCATGGTCTAACATTTATACTAGATTATTTTTCTGTTTCGACATCATTATGTTCAGAGCCGTGCGGTAGATTTCCTCAGTATGATGCAAGTCTTCAAAATGCCACTTATGCCACACCTTAAATGATGCTTATGACGCCCCATTACGGTGCCGCCTGATGCGGCCGCATCTCTGTATCATAGCACGGTACGGCCCTGATTATGTTATTTGTATAACCAGGGTCTCCAAAAGGAGAGGACTCAAAATGGAGGCTAGAGATGCATTCAGCATCTGCATCCCCAGCCAGTGCTGTATGTACTTGACAATGATTATCCCATGTTTAAGTATATCTGAAAGAGGAGATTGAACTGGAGACTCATCTAGTGTAACTGGCACAATTCTTTCCTTCCAAAATTTTTTAAAAGTTATTTAAAATATTAACAGAGGAAATATACAAAACTATGGTAAAATTTACATGAAATTATTAATAATGTTAATTTTACCATAGTCTGTATAGTTAATCTATTACGTTTTAGATGTACCAAACTGATTTTTAAATTTTAAATTGCATTTGAGAAATTAAGTATTTGAAATAGTTAAAAAAGAAGTTCTTTATGTGTTCCACTTCAATAATATAGGACCTGAAGATTCAGAACAATGATCAAAAAGTTAGTACATATTCCATCAATAAACTACATACTGGAGTTTATTTTTTTATGGTTCTGTAGTTTATTTTGTTGCATTAACATAAAATAACTTTAAATTGTAATTGTATAACTGAACTTATAAATTAATATTTCATATTATTTTTTAATTTATTTTCATATATGTAGATTAGATATAATTCAAACAACAAGAATCTGCATCAAATTATAACTTGACAAAAATTAGAATGAAGAATTAATTATTTATATATACAATAAGCAAAAAGAACAATATTCTAAATGTAAAAGATAAGAATTTTATAAATAAATCATGAAAATAAATTATTTATGGATAGTAAGAGAGAGGTTAATAATTTGAAATTATTATAAGTGAGAGAGAAAAGTTTGATATTAAATTATAATATTGATAAATTCTGAATGATGTAATCTAATATTTGAATTTTAAATTTTAAAAAGATATAAATATATGCTATAAAAAATTCAGGAATGTAGACTTAAATTGCTTGAAAACAGTAACTTAGTCAGGCACAGTTAAAGGTTCAAATGAGAGAATGAAAATCAAAATTTTAGAAGATTAAACAAAAATTATGCGTATCAAACTGCAATTGTNTGACAGCTAATTTAAATTGTATTTGATACAAAATTAAATTTTCCTGTTTGAAGATTCAACGAACATTCCATTATGCTCTAATTTCCAGATGAAGACCTTTCATTAATTAATGAATTATTTATGAATACAGTATATGAAAACTTTATGTTTTGAGGTTGGTGGAGATTTTACTATTAGGTATCCAGTTTGATGTTGAATAATTCTTAATGAGTTTATGTAAATTAATGTGTATTAAGCCAACAAGGTATACCTTTAACAGTGCTGGTCAGTTGTGAGTGATAACTTAATAGTAGTTAAAGTTTTCCTTTTGTTGGGTTCATCCTCTCTAAATGGTTAAGATTATTTGCATCTGTCAAGCTTTACAATTATTTACAAAATATAATAATATCATTACTACTTGTGATAATTGAACATTGGCATTAGACTGGCAAGTAACTAAAAGTAATTAAAAAAAATATCTTGAAAAATCTTTAGTCTTCTTATTTATTTGGAGCTATGGTGCTTTCTTTAGACTATTTGCATTAAATTTTCCTCATCCTGCAGACACTAATAGGGCATTTTATCCTTTTTTTTTCTTTTCACACAGTTGAATAAGGGATAGTCAGTCAAAAAGATAGAAACTAATGTATCCAGATCAAGACATCCATAAAAACTTTATTAATTTTCATTCTGAATCACTTTTTATTTTAAAATATTCTATTTATCAACATACTGATAATTTTTAAATGTTTTATTGCCATCATGACTATACTATCATTAATTAATCATTCTTACTTTTCAAACTTGATTGAAAAAATATAACCTGTATGCTAAAATTTTTAAAGGATATTAAAAAGTTTTTAATACATTCAATTAAAACAACAAGATATCTGATAGTTAGTTTGATTTTAAATTAATTCCAGTGGAAGATGTATCATTTGTTGTTACAGATCAGAATTTAAGTAGAATAATCAAAAAGACAAATGTTTTCTACTAAATTTTTCTTTGTTTATTCAATTTAAATTTATTTTTGGAATGAAAAATGCTTGGAAAACTTCAGTGCTTTAATGCTATGTGCTAACCAAGAGATCAAACACACTGACTCCTCAATCCTCACAATGAGCATGTGGCCCAAAAATGCTAATGTGTTGAACTGACCAAACCTCATACTATTGTAACATTAATGTGATTTGAACAGTGTATTATATAGAATTAACACAATATATAATACAATAAAATTACTGTTCTTTATTTCAATACTTGTTTCCATATAAGTTGAAGAGGAATGAAGAAATATAAATTTAAAAGTAGGATAGGTGTGACTTTTCAGTTGATTTTAAATTAACTGATTATATTGTAAAGTAAATAAGTACTGTAAATGGCATTGCACTTATCCACAGAATAGCATTTTAATTCACCTATTACTGAAACTAATTTAAACAAAGACAGAACACCATAATTTTAGCAATTATCAATTTGTACTTAATTTAATCCATATTATTTAAATACTGTTGTCAACATTAATTATTAAACTATATTATTATTAAATTAATAATAATTATTAATACTAGCTACCTATTAATTATAGAGAATTGATTTTGAAATTAAATTATGTTAATATCATTGGCATCTTTTAATAGAACAAGCAATCTATAAGTTTTATAATTTTGTGTTTAGTGTAAGGTGACTAGATTTTAACATTGATGAAGCGGGACGAAATTGATGGATAGAGTGGTTGTCTTGTCGGAAAAAATTGTTCTAGAGCAACAAAATTTTATCATCAATGAACACAAAAGTTGTATTGTATTATACTTTTTTTTTAATTTCAACATATGTAAAATTTACAAATATAATAAATATATATACTATTATAAATCTTTAAAAAC